ACTTTTTTCGAATTAATAGTCTCATCCTCTCTTTTTGGAATCAAAATTAATAATTATTATGTTATGTAGGTACACGTAAAATGTTAATATAATAGCAACTTTGAGGTACGTAAAATGTTGCTGTACTATTTTTTGTTTTTTTTTCAACATTATATGTTCAAAGTTTTTTTTTTTGAACCGTATATTTAAAAATGATGTACAACTTTATGTAACATTATGACTGTGCCACTTACTATGTGCGACGTTTATTTTGTTAAACTAATAAAAAATACTGTTTGTGTACACAAAAATGTATTGTTTTTTCTCTTTTTCATATTGTCGAGTGTATAAAATACTATAAATCAAATGTTATCGACTAAGACGTGGCGTGAAATACTTTATCTAGCAATATTCATTTCCTGCAGTAACACAACAATTGAGCCTATTTTTGGTTTTCTTTAGTTAGCATATCATTGCATTTTCAAGTACATATAGCTGCATTCATAAACAGTTTATATTTTAGAGCGTTCAAGTTTGATCACCATACTGGCATAACGTTGTAGGTACACATTGTCCATATTGACGGACCTTTGTGCAGTGTATTATCTACATAATAGTTTATTGAGTACGCGTACGGTGGAAGTAATTTATATCACGGTCCTCGTAACTGGACGGGCTCATTTATTTATATATTATATTATATTATAGTCGTATACCTAATCTATGTGTTACATTCATATACATTATGTATACATATTTCGTAGCAGGTACCTAACCTATATAATATGAACTCATCGATTTTGTAAATATATGCGGAATCGCCGACCCATACTTTCGAAGTGGGGTGGCGGTATGGAAGTCCCTCATCTACGAGAATTTGTCCGTTTCGTCGAATTCACTCGAGGCATCATTTTATAATGATGTGGGAGCAATTTATACTATAATTTCTAACCGTGATTAAAATAATTTACAGAATCTGCAACATAAACATACCAACAAAAAAATGCCCATGTGATATATATTTATACACACAGAATCAAGTGGGCCACTAAGCGGGGGCGAACGAGTTCGTGAAGTGTGCAACATTGAGATCACGATTCACGATGACGAATGAAACATGATAGTAATATACTTTTATCGTACTCGAAAAACCAATCTAAACTTCCATCTACATAGAATTGCATTCTTTGAAATTGTGATGTGTATATATATATCGTGAACCGGCGGTTCTCAATTTATGTGTGNCCCCAAAGTTAAGTTTTAGCTGTAGTTAAAAAAAAAACCATAAAAAGTAGAAAAAACCCAAAAAAAGTAGTTTTAAGTATAGTTGTAGTTTTAATTAAAAAAAAAAAAATAGTTTTAAGTATGGTTGTAGCTGTAGTTTTAGTTATAATTTGAGTTGTCGAAGAGGGTTAACTCAGACAGCTTAAAGTGCCGACAAATTGTTGTTAATTTCGACAAAACATAGTCGAAGAGGGTAACTCAGACAACAAAAAGTGCCGACAAATTGTTTTTAATTCCTACACGAAATAGTCGAAGAGGTTAAACTCAGACAGCAAAAAGTCGAAGAGGTCTTACTCAGGTAGATAAAAGGGTGAACAAATTTGTAATTCAGACACAGAAAAAAATTATTTATAAGCTTTAAAATGAGTTTAAACAAAAAATTGGATGAGGTAGCTCATTATATTAAGAATCAATATCCAAATTTAAATTTTGGAAATGTCTCAGTTTCTGACAGTTATGTAACTAATATTTGCAATATCATCTTTAATAAAGAAAATGATAACGGTTTAAAAAAATCAACTGCAAATGCTATCAATAGAAACACTTCATCTCTTCGTAAACGTATTACAAGTATGAACAATACTGATTTATATAATGTGTCAGAAATGAATAGTAAAATAATAAAATATATTGCAGACTTTAACTATACGTCTAGTGATTTCTTAAATTACAATCACATAATTCTGAATGACATAATATGTAAACACATTAAAGTCACTGTAGATCAAGTTAACCGTATTAAAGTGTATAGACAATGTAAAAAACACTTCAATGTGTCGTTGTGTAATCCATTGGGTGACACAAACATTTGAATTCAAATAGTGTTTATTTTAATGAAAACTCTAGTACTGAAAATTGTACTTCATATTCAGATCACACAGAGTCTGAACTAGTTCATAAAGACCACGTTTCACTTGAATACACATGTGTATCGCCCCAAAGTGATTGTAGTTGGATGATAGGAAATCCACTCATACCTTGTAGTACCCCAATTCTACTGGAAAGCATAAGGGTTGAATCTGATTTTGTTACACCTAATAAATTGGAATGCAGAAAAATGCTGGACTTGTGCCAAGTTCCCTTAAAAATGTCTATTTTAAGAAAACCCCGGTCAAGTCTGGTGTTGTGCTGCCTTTGAAAACAATAAATTGTTTCCCAAAACAATGTGATAGCCATGAATGTGAGTTTTTTTAAGGAACTTTCACATTTTCACGTGTAGAGTGGTCTCATATGTTATATACACATATTAGCGGTGAAAAACGTTTGGAAAATAATAAATATCCTATTATGTTCAGAAAGCTCATTAGAACTGTGAACAATACATGCGTTGTTAATGCAAAAAGGGTTAGATATTTTGAAAATCATTGCAATGTGTACATGTATTGTAGCCACGAAGGGTGCAAACTTTTTAGAATTAAAGTCCAGCCTCAAAACCAAGAGTTTCTGGCGGAAGTATATAGTTCTGGTTTAAATTACCATCACAATCCAGAAGACAATGGTCTCACGAACCACATAAAAGGGATTCAGCGAGACTTACACAAAGAAGCGCTAAAAAAGACAAAAGCGTTTTCCTTCAGGTCGGACGCTGTTGAAATGGCATCAACCACTCAGTTGAATTGTGGTAATTTGCAAGGCATTAAATCAGATGACGTCGTCAGAAAAATCAGATCAGAGGCCTTAAGTGCTGATGATTATGATAAAGATGATTTTCATGACCTTGTATTGATGTGTAATGACAAAGAAAACAACTTTGTCAAGCAGGTCGTCATACCATCCGTTCACTGTTATTGTAACGAACAGTTGGACATGCTAAAAAATCTGATTAAAAAACAAAAACCAGTAACTGGGTATTTAAATGCAACTGGTACAGTGGTCAGGAAAATTGACAAGAACAGCAAAAAGGTTCTGTACTATGTTCTAGTTGTTAATATCCCATTACCTATAGAGATTCAAGTGTCACGTGTCCTGTCGTTGAAATGATTAGTTCAGCCCACGACATTGTTGCGATTTCACAATGGCTGAACGCTTTTAAAGCATTTGTTTTAAAACACAAACTGACTTGGCCAGTATTCACAAATATTGTGACAGATTTCAGTTATGCCCAAATGAATGCATTGTGTATAGGATGGAATGGTTTTACTTCCATATTCGACTACCTTCACTGGTGTTACAGAGTATTGGTTGAAAACCACGACAAATCTAATGTCACCATCATAAATATATGTGCAAATCATTACACAAAAATTATAGTAAACCATGTCTACACGTATTTTCAATCTGAGAAAAACCATCGTATGACTGTAGAAAAGAAATGATGTTATTGATTAGATATGTAGGTATACTTTTTAACACAACCAGTTTGACAGATGTTGAACAATGGTTCAAAATATTTTCAGTAATACTGTTGTCACCTATGGTACAGGACACACGAAAAATGTCATTACTACAATGAAAGCAGTGTTATGATAAATACCAATTGCCAGATGAATCGAACAACGAAGGTGAGGATCACTCGGAGGAAATAAATACATTTCTATGCGAATCCAACGAGTAATTCCATGATGTTGTGTAGATTTCAGTCAATCAAAGAACAGGTTAAATCTGAAGTCTCAAATTGTGCTGAAAATATTGAAAATATAAGCATTAATGAATATTATGATGAATCATATTTACTCGAGTTTATAGTTAAGTGTGTTGAATCTTGATTTATAAGTTAAGTAAGACATACTGGAAGGCGACCTTAAATGCTGCCGGTTTTTAAAACTTATGAGACAGCGTGTGACGAATGTACACAAACAAATGAAGTACAATATTAGAAAAGGAAACTGCACTCGTGCGCTTGATTTTGACAATAAGTCTAAACAGAGTACTACTAAAGAAAATGGAAAAAGAAAAATTTCAGAATTGTCTAGCCTTAATCATTTAGACGAAACAGAGAGTTGGGGAAAAAAGAAATACAACACAAACATCTCCAACCCATCAAGTACCGTCCTTTCACAGCACTGTCGTTAAAAATCCCAAAGTCTTCGACCGTTAAAGCAGATGAAAATAACCGTGCGCCCAAAGTGGTTGATGGTATTGAAAGCGTTGTGGCAATAGAATGTGACAATGAGACTAGGTTCACTGTTGATGAGCCTATCAACGACGTGGTTGTCCATGATTTAAGTAAGCCATTGTCGGATGATTGTTTAATAAAATCCATTTCAACACCTGGCAGTCATAAATCTCTGTTTCGACTACCAGTGAAATCTATAGATTTATACAATATGCTCCCTAAAGATTCGACGTACTATAAACCAATTAAGTTGCCGAAAAATAAACATTATCTAGTTGTAAAATATAGTTACTTTGTTTAAAAATCAGATTCTAATTTCAACATTTGTCTTTGATAGTGCCTAAGTGTTTTCTTTCATTAAAATATTTTTATTTTTTACTTAATAACAAATATACAGATTTATACTCTTAATTCAACTAATTTTTAAGTAGTTTTGACTGTTTTGAGAGCACAAAACACATACATTTAATAAACTAATTATTTGTCAGGCGTTTCTTTCGGTTTTGTCTCTTTTACAATATATTATTATATATACTTATACCTATTCAATAACAATAAATCTTTTTGAAGTACTTCATGATGATAGATCTAAGTCGTTAGATATTATAAAATGTATATAAATAAAGAGAATAAGAAAAGTATTTTGTATTTTACATTTTCAAACCTTGTTTGTTTTGTTTTAATCAATCCAATTACTTTTACATAATAAAAAACCAAAACACAATCAAATGAATGAATTGAAAAACAATTTATATAAAAAAAAATATTTAGGTATTCTAACAAGTTATAAAATTAGGAGGTCTAACAATGGCTACAGCTCCCACACAATATTCTGGTACATTTATTGAAGCTTCTAGCAATGTCCAGGTATTAGAGATTAGATTATAGAATTCTACAGAACCACAAGTAACACCGATAATTCCACCAATGACATACAATAAACCATCTAATACAACTACACCTATATTAAAAATTTTACTCAAATTAATTACATTTGAAATAAATTGTTTCATAAAATAATTTTGAATTATTAAAAGAGTATTTACCTGCATTTGCCCGACAAAAATGCATGTCTGCAATAGTAATCCAAACTCCTGTACTTGGACTGTAAGCTTCAACACTTTTCAGAATTACAAATCCATTGTGGCCACCTATAGCATAGAGTACACCATCTAACACTCCAACACCAGCACCAGAGCGAGGTTCACACATTTCTGCGACTGGTGTCCATGTATCAAGACTGGGATGATAACATTCAACAGATTTTAAATCCTCATCCTCATCCTCATCATAACCTCCAACCTACACGATTAAATTAAAACATATTTCAAAATAACAACTCCATTAATTTTTCTTAATTACAAAACTACATTTTTAATTCATTCATTGTTATCAATATATCAAACTAAATATTGTAAAATTTAAACAAATAATTAGAAATTAAAAATCAAGCTGGATGATCAACTAATAAAGAATCATTTTGTAATCAAAATTATACATTTAAGCTTAATATAATGTTGAAAATATACATTGAACAAAATTTAATTTGCTTGTATATATTTTATATTATTATTTTCAAACGCTATCAATGTAAATAAGTAAGAGGACATTATACCCACATGTGTTCAGTGTTTTTTATGTCTTTCAAATGTTAAACATTGCAGAAACTGTTTTTCGAGGGTAAGAAAAACTCAGGCTGTACTCCAAGATAATCAACCAAATTTTCACATTTTAAAGACAAGGACATTGACTGTGCAACAGTGTTTTTTATTATTCGATATAAAAAATGTTAAAAACATTTTTATAGTTTAAAAATTAATTATTTTTTGGTTTATCAAAAGACTTTAAATTGGAGATATAATCCAAGATGAAGCATGGGAGATTTTTTTATTACCATAGCGATTATTATTGTAACAAAATATGTATTACACATTAAAAGTAATAAAGTAAATATTAGTTTACCGCATATAAAAGATTTTCCAGTACTCCAACACTAACGCCAGATCTCCTAAAAGACATACTAGACACCATACTCCATTCTTTGGTACTATAGTCAAAAACTTCTGCACTATTTAAACCACTTGAACCATCAAATCCGCCAACCTTGAATGTATTTTATAATTAATAAGTTTCTAAATTATAAAAGAAATAACTAAAAAAAATGTGAATTACATTTTTTAACATAACTTACGGCATACAGATAATTATTCATAATGCAAACTCCTAAACATCGTCTTTTAACTAACATGTTTACAGATGATTTCCAACAGGGTGATTCTGATGATAAATCTAGCACATCAACAGACTGAAGGGAGGATATTCCATTTACACCACCCACGGCAAACACAAAGTTTTCTTTTAATAAAACAAGACCACCTTCATTATGGTGTTGCATCACTTCTGGACCTGTCTGCCATCGGTTGATTTTTGGATCATACCATTCTGTACTACCAATTGCCCCTTTGCTTCCAACCACAAAAACTACCTGTGAAATATAAATAGATCAAAAATATTAGGAGAGAAATAAATTATGATTAAATCATACATTACGTAAACCAGCAGGGCGTCTAGGTTTAATCCGGATGCACTCTGGAACAGTGATAAGCTGATCTGACTGGTTTCTCTTAAGAAAATTAAAATGTAAAGCCTCCATTATATAATCTTTACCTTTAAAAATTATAAAAACATAAAATACTAATGCATCCACAATAAAAGAATATTTAAAGAAAGAACTCACATTTAGGATTATTATCAAGAAGAGGTTCCTTAATTACTTTTTGAAATATATAGTTTTCAGATGTTAATGGTAAACGTACATGTTCCATTAATTGTGGTAAAATACATTTTCTAGAATCCAACTCATGTTTTATCCAACGAATAACGCATTCAAATACCTACAAAAATAAAGAAACTTAAATAGGGCTTGGATTTCGATGAGTATTGCATATTTTGTATTTTGTTATTTGGTCATATATTTTGTACTTTATGGTCAATTTTTTCAGGGTTGGTAATAAAGTGTATTTAATGTTTTATAAGTTACGTGTATTATAATACCTCGTGTGTAAAATGTATAAACAACGAAAACGTATACAACTTTATAACAACTTAGACAAATTAAGGAATATTAAGTATACCTATATTCTTCTATCATTAAAATAATTAAATTTATAATTAATTAACAAATAGCATCAACTTGGTGATTTATACCTGATAATTGCTTTCTGTGCAGCAATCAAAAAAACTTTCATTCATTTATAATTTTAAATTGTTTTCTTAAATTAAACCAACATTCAAATTTAAACTCAAATAATAAGTCTGCTTCTTGGTTGTTTAGGTATAAATTGTAATGAGTAATTTAAAAATCAAGAAGATTATATATCAAAATAACTTAATTTTCCATTCTTCATACTAAAATACAACAATAATCAATTTTGATTTGCTCACTTTTTCTTCAGAAGCAACTGTAAGCTCATCACTGGAGATCAACATAACTAATTGTTCATATGACAAGGATAGGAATTCGTCACCTTCAACAACTTCTCTATGAATCAAAACATAACAATAAATACAATTCCTTTAAAGGCTCATTATCATGGATATTAAATAATATTGCATACGAAAAGTTTTGTTGAATATACAATTCTGAACATGTTAATAATTTTTTACAGCTGTGTAAATCAGCAAACGCATGTATACCAAGACAATTTGTAGAGTGCAGTTGTTTCTGTAAAAACTCACAGCATGCCTCGCTTACATCGTTTAACTGCAAGTGATTTGCAGCAGATAACAAAACCTTGAGGAGTAAATAGTTTAAATGATTTTGTTATACATAATAAAATCAAACTGTATCTATTATTACCTGTACATTTTTTTTAGTCACTATAATTTTCCCAGAATAAATAAAGTCTATTAAGAGTTGTAAGATAGTAGAATCTATTTGTTTTATACCAACAAGATCTTTATTCTTTTCAGCAAAATTTGTGAACATTGCATGAAAATATGGACTAGCCGATACTAAAACCACTTTATGTCCAAATATGATGGTACCATCATCAGTTTCCAGTTTAATATCACAAAAAACCCCATGTCTAAAAACAAACATTTATCATTAATGTTTATCTGGCAGTTTAAATCACCTACTTACTGGCGTAACGATTGTAAGACATCATACATTTCCGAATAAGACAATTTTTTGAACTCGAATAATTCTGATTCACAACTACTAGATATTGGTTTTGCTTGTAGATTTTGCATTTTAAATTTTATATTTATAGGTATTACATCCAGAACTTAAGTCTAAGACTCTGAGCACTATGCTCTTAAAAATACGTACAAATATTAAAGCAATATGAGAAAATTAAGTTGATTAGGAGGAGAAAAATAACAATAGTTAAATGAATGAATTCTAAACATTTAAAGAATTACGGAATAATATGTTTCGTAAATCATAGCACACGGTAATTCTTAAAAATGTGAAGAAACAAAACCTACCTCAAATCAGTGTCGCCACAAATAGGGAAATAAGACTTTATGAGAAATTATAGTTTATTAGCTACACATCACTGACTTATTGACGCCTTTCAGCAGTAGTTGAAGACTCGCGTCTCTTCAAAGACGTGTGTGTGAAGTTGGAGGACCATAGCTAGGGGCACGGACTAAGTCTGATATATAGAATAAACTAGATTGCTAACTGTGATAAGACTTGAAGTCACCATCCGCCATTTAAAAAGAGGCCAATGGGTCTTATCACACGTATTTAATATTGATAATAAATAAATTTATTTTGGCGCTAAAATTATATTTTGTTTTTCACTTTCTACAAATTTGACAATTTTGTGAATTAATTTATTTTAATTATGCCTTACAAATGTTGTGCCTATNTGTACACCTAAGTTTGCAGCTGTATGTGCATCATCAAGCAATTTTATTGCCAGAATTGCAGATTTAAGATCTCCAGCATCTGAAAAATATTATTTTTTTTTTATATTCTAGTATTGGTATTTATAATTTATATACATAATATATTATATAGGTGTTATATTTTACTGAGTTTATTACTAATACAATCTAACGTTTTGGGGAGACTTACCTATAAAATGAACAGTGACTCCTAAAAATGACTTGGTTGTATGTTTGTCTGTCCAAATATCAGTGGTGATACTACAATGCTCAATTTTTTTGAGTTCATTTTTGAACATATCGCTTATAATTTCATATTTATCATCCATACATTTTGTAATATATTTGCATTTAGGTAGTTTATACAGTGGTGCTGTTATTTTTAACAATTTTATAAATCCAGGCTTTTCAATAGTATTTAGTGGCAAGTTATCCTTGGCTATCATGTACAAAATAGTATTTGTAATTTTTATTTCACTTTGACCACCTTCTGAAATATGAATGAAAACAGTTTATAATTAAAGAAATTATTAGTTGAAAATTAAAAAAAATGTTGAATAATAATATATTAAAATTATTAAGACCTTTATAACTATTGAAAACTTGCACAGTTTTTGTAATTGTTTGTTGTTTAAAATGCATCATATTTGATGGTTGTACATGTATATCTTCCGAATTTGTTGTTACAGTAGGACTATCAGGATTAATATCTTCATTCTACAATTTAAAGTGCAATTGTAGAAGTAATTTATAGTTATAATTTTTATAATAAAATGAATTAGAAGTGTCTATTCGTCTGAAGTGATATGACTTACCATATATTCTTGTTCATGATTTTCTTGTATTTTTTCTATCTTAGATGGATGTCTCAATATCAAATGTTTTTTCATGTTTGTAGTATTTGTGCCTTTCACAATATTTAAACAAATAGTACATTTATGCTCAGACTTATTGAGAGAGGTAAAATATTTTCTAAATTTTGAAGACATCTTAAAATTGTAATACAGAGCACAGGCACACTAATAAAATTATTGTTTTAAAATATGGCATAACATATTGACAGATAACAATTATTGGCAATTCCAACACAAAATTAATAATATATAGCATAGGTACACTAATAAATATTATTTTGTGAGTATGTCATTATAGATAACAATCACTCATCACTGGTAATTCCAACATAAAATATAAACTACTATATTATTATAATGGTAAAATGCCATTGCAGATAATTTTATATTAGTCTGTATTCAACTAGTACAAAAAACCAAAGATTTGTGTACTATACAGTCAATCTATAATATTTGGGACCTATGATTATTTACAGTAAATATTAATTATAATAATATTTAAATTTATGCGGGAAATATTGGTATATTAACATAATATTATCATCTTACATTTTTATCTTAAACCATAACCGTGATCACGGCCATATAGATAGGTCTGGCAACTCTACGATTTTCGTGTGCCGTTATTGTATACGGGATCGGGGGAATGCTATGTGGCGCTATCTACTTACAAATTAATGACATACTATATAGTATAGAACTACATACTATGAATGTAGATAGCGCCACTTAGCATTCCCCCCGATGCGATCGCCTACACACGGCCATATATTAATAGTAGTACCACAAAATATATGAAATTATATATATTTCATATATTCTGTATTTCTGTGGTAGTACCAGTATACATATTATATTATTATTATAATAATATAATACCTATTGTATTACATTTTTATAAAACTTTATTAATAGCATGATATAACTAAATTACCTAATTGTACCTTCATGATTAATTGTATGTTGCCTGTGTTAACTACTGAAATTGAATTAGAAGTCTGGAAAGTGGAGAATAAAAAGACAAATGACAAAGTATAATATTATAATTAATTATGCATAATAAATAGTAATAAGTAATATCTTAAATATAGGTTTAGTTGTTTAACACTTTAACAACAATGTATAAATATTAACATATAAACTTAAAACCTTTATGTAGTACAGAATTTTGATAGTTTTTTTCTTTTTTGATTTTCTTTTTGATTATTTTGATTAAGCTGCTTAGTAAATTGGCGCATACGCATATTGATATAGTACCTTATGGAGTAAGTAATTATTTCGTCTTTGTGTTGAGGACAAGGGAAACCTAAACATTCATTAGTCAATATATCTTCAACTACTTCTTCAAACACATAAGGACTATCTATGTGAAGTATAAAATATTCTTCAATCTTAAAAATAAAGTGAAAAAATTTTTTATTTGGGTGTATCAGTTTTCCCCTAGACTTCAATTCTGTCAATTCAGACTCAGGACCTTGAAGTTTACCATTCGAAATTATAGCTTCTTTACATACACTACATTGACTATTCTTTAATATTTGCTTACACAAATATCCTGTTACATAATATATCAAACAATCTATTACAGGTGCGTATGAATAATCATGTTCTGATATATCTGTAAACTCCCATAAATCTTCGAGTAGAATGTCATCTAATTTTCTTTTTAATGTTCCTAATGCAGATTCACTTTTATTATCATATATACTTTTTAAGTCACTAATTTTTATTAAATTTGATGATTGATTAGATGTATCAGTATCAATGGAACAATTTCCATACTTTGGAGGACGCAAAATACTATATACAGACAACAATTTATACAACTGTATAAATGTTGGGGTTCCTGGATGGTCGTTTGCTCCAGCAGCTTGTCTAATTGTTCCAAAAAAAACGCTGAAAATGTATTATTAAAAAAAAAATTACTTTTTTGACATTTTAAATGAATGAAATTTATGGTATGAATTTAAGCCAAATAAATAGATTACTAACGTCGATATAGAAATTAAAATTCAAATAATTTTACATTTAATAATAGCTCGACTTACTTCTAATGCATCCTGGTTTATTTTTCCAGTTAATACATAAGTGAAATTGTATCTAGTAATTAAATATTCAATAATATCTAATGTTGACTGAAGTGTTACTCGTAAACCTTCAGCTGTGTTAGCTGTTAAAAACTGATTTTCAGTTATTTTGCGGTTGTGAAACATGTCTTCCCAATCGTTTAAAAATTGTAATGATTCTTTCAAAATCTATTAAATTAATTAATTTAATTTCAAAATATACCTATTTTTTAAATTTTTTTATACCTTATAGTCTGATGATTCTAAATTTATTCCATCAAAAGTGTGTTTACGATTTAAAGAATCAAACATGTCATTAATTAGTTCACAAAACTTAATTGTAGGATCACAATTTTCAAAACCATTTATGTTTCGTTTCTTATAAAACTCCAAACCAACTACAACACTATTACTGAAAATCTAAGTGTAAATAAATATTATTAAAATATTATTATATTTTTTCAATTTATGTTAATGTATTAGATCTTACTTGTGCTGCATAACGAACTCTCATTTTCAGAGATGAATTTACTAAATGTACATGATTTTTTGTTATTTTTGGACAAACTTTTAGATAAGAGCTTGTTACATGGCAATCTTCTTCATACAATTTTTCAAAAAATTTCCATTTTATAATTCCTAGTGGTGTCTATTACATAAATGGATAATTCAATTTGTTTACAAATGTATAGTGATCAAGTTACTTACCTCAAGTTCTTTTTTATTATAAAAACGATTTCTGATATTTTTTAGCAAATGAGGTGTGTCCGAAAATGCAAAAAATTTTCTTTCTGGATCGACAAAATGTTCAACATAGTTTCGGCAATTATTTAGCTTGCCTCCTAAACCATATTCGTTCCAAACTTTCCTGTTTGTTTGAGCACCATCGGCAATAAACCCATGAACATATGCACCAGATTTTTCTAACAAAATAGTTGCTTTAATGATAAGTTGAGCAAGCAATTTTTTTCAATGACTGTAGATAGAATAAATTAAATATCATTAGAAAAAAATGCTTGAGCTGGCCACTCCACCCTAACTTACAAAAAATTCATTCGTCCAAACCGGTGTGAAAAATAATGTACAGAGATGTTTGGACCATATCATTTACATGGTGCATTATCCCGGAATGGGATAGTTCTAAACTGGTCTAGTTCAACAAATTTCTTGATATTTCATTATTATGGTATTAAAAATATACTCACTGTACAAATAACATGATTTGTAATAGGGTCTTTAATTTCATTTTGTCTTACAATGTCTGTTGACAAAAAGTGTTTTTCACACAAAACAGTTTTGCCGGGAACTAATGTTTCTTGAGTACCAAAAACCTCTTGCCATTTTTGTGCTCAAACACTATTGATCGGCACTCTAAAAAGTGTTAGATCATTTTTTTCTCTACATATTGAGCATACTCTAGGCATTGTGAATTTATTATTTTCAACAACTAGAAACTAAAGACTAGTACTAGACAAACTGTATGTCTGTATATTATCAATTAATTTTACCATAAATTAGATAGGTACACAAATAATTTTTAATATTTATATTTAATAATTTTAGATAGGTATAATATATTATTATAATATGCCCATAATAACTCCTATATTTGCTTGTATATGATTGTTTCGCCATCTATCCCACCAAAATAGTAAATTTGTAATACTTAGAATGCTATACTATGAATGTAGATAGCGCCACATAGCATTCCCCCGATATGCCGTATACAATAACGGCACACTCCAACCACGTACAAACACTG